GGAGGAAGTTGACAAAGACTGAGGATCCTAGAAAAGACTTTGGGGTTTCAAGGGGGGTTGTCACCCTTCAGGACTTCAGGTAAGTGAACTGAAAGAAGTGAAACAAGATGGAAAAGAAAAGAAAATGCTACCTATAAAACTTGAGTGTACTATAGTAAACTATTTTGGTGTAAATAAGCAAGGGCTATCATATTCCCTGGCCATGGGGATTTATTTATAGGAACTTATGCTCTAAAAAGATTTTCTATTGTGGTAAAAATTCCTATAACATAAAATTTAGCATCTTACCCATTTCGAAGTGTACAGCCCAGGAACGCTAAGTCTATTCACATCATTGTGAAACAGATCTCGAGGACTTCTTCATCTTACAAATCCCAAACTCTGTACCCATCAGAGAAGAACTCCTCTCACATCCCTCTCTCCTATGGAAATTAGCCTTTCAAATATAGGTTATTCAAGAATATGATAGCCCCGTGGCATTGATCTCAGAGGAAACAAAATAAGATTGGACAAGGCATTCCAAAGCCAATTGAAGAGTCTTGTCTCTGACACACCCAAGCTATGGAAATCTGTGCAAGACCAGAGAACCTTTCCTAATCCTAAAAACGAGGGTAATGATACTACCCCAACTTGACTCACAGAATTACTGCAAGGACTAGAGTCACAGAATTAGTATAAGGACTAAATAAGACCTACAGTAAGGCTTTGGCTAAGTGGTAACATAAGCCACCACTCTAAGGAGTGAAAAAAAAAAAAAAAAAAAAAAAAAAAAAAAAAAAAAAAACAATACAGGCAAGGCTCCAAATTATAGAGAGAAGGAAATTTAATAAACCACTGCTTTATTAACTAAAATTGAATAGATTTAGATGAAGAAAGGCAACTCAAACGTCAGTCTATCATCTGTGAATAGTAAGGTACCACCTTTTACTTTAAAAGGTGCATTCATTTGTCATGCCAAGGAGAATGCTACTGTAAATAGTATACTCCATAGTATTGCCCCTGGCAGCGGGCACTATGTTGGTCACTAGATGTCCGGGGGAAGCCTGTTGTCCTAGTGACAGTGGACTTGGAAGCCAGGGAACGTGGAGCTTTATCAGGGGGTTACTGATAAACCCACGAGAAATTCTTAATTTCTGATTTCAAAGTCACTTATTTGTGATCCTGAGACAATTCCTTGGTTTAGTATTAATAAGTTTCTCAATCAGCCACTTGCAGACATAAACTAAAAGCTCAGGAAAAAAGGAGAGAACACTGGCAATAACTCAAGATATTCTTTAAAAAAAAAAGTCATCAATACCGTATTTGCCATCTGCAAAGCAGGATCCATCAAGCCCAGGATTTCTTCATTATAACTTGATTCTAGGCTAATGATGTCATCAATTACATCATCCATCTGTAGGAATAAAAGGGCAATGGAAGAGACAAATATAAGCAAACACTGTACAAAGCAACCCAAAGAGAGATCCATGATTCTCTTCTTACCCTCAACACTGAATGCTCTTCACTTAGATTTCTAAGTTACCATCCCTTCCTGCCAAACAGGAACATCACTGAAGTTCACTGACACTAACCAGTGATAAGGATGACATCGGTAACCAGTGCTTAGTGAGGGATTACTAGGTGCCAGGCACCGGGCTCAGGGTTTTGGACAGGTTCAATCATTCCCCCCTCACAGTAGCCCCATCAGGGTAGGGGCTGTGAGTATATCCATTCTCCAGGTGAGATGAAGGAGAAGCACCTTGCCCAATGAAGAAGAGTTGAACCCATTCTCTCAAGCACTATGTTCAACTGCCACTCCTAGACAGGAAAGCTGGACTGGGAAACCTCATCTTCAAAGACAGCTGCGATTTCCTTTTTTTCTCTAAGGACTATATCCCATAGCCTTTGTAGACCCTCCTTGAAGTAAGAAAACACAGGCGGTCACTCAGACCTTTGCTCTCCTACGGACTTGTGTGGGGGGTCACTGTGGCTCTCAGGCTACTGGCGAACGCTGCACCGATCTTTACGGTGACTTATATAAACTAAGCGTCTCCTTGTGCGGCTGCCAATGTGCACGGGGCTCCCCCAGGAGTACACCAGGACGGGGTTATCATTACAGTGGTGGAGCTGACAGTCCCTCTAGATCAATTTTATTCCTCAAGTACCAAAACATCAGTTATGATAATAAACAACAGTGATTACATGTGCCTTGCAGCAGTTGCACAGACAAGGCTGTGAGAACATTTCGTTGTAAACACCTTATGTATTTGAGCTGGGTATGTGCCTGTGTGTCTGCGAGCATGCACTCAGGCTTGAATCTCAATAATGCTTCGCAAGTACACAGTGAGGTCTCAGAGCTCAGAGGAATGCTCTTCATGTCTTTTTGTCATTTCCAATGAAAGAGGACAGGCCCCAATGTCACAGGGCTTGTTGGAATCCTCATTCTCCCGCTTTCTGTAGTAAGGGCAACGCCCTCAATTTTTAAAGGCCTCAACAGGCCAATCTGGAAAATGGGGTTAATAATACTCCTTGTCTTATTGGATTCTTGTGAGATCTCAGCATAAAGTATAAAAAGTGACTCAGAGTGCCATGGATATAGTAAACACCCAAAAAAATGAGAGTTATTAAGTGACCTCTGACAACGATAATTGTGGGTTGAACAACGTCCAGCACATCGTTTGTTTAGTTTCATTTCTAGATTGACCAGTTAGGTTTGTTTGCTTCTATGGGATGATTTTCTAATTGAGTCGAACAGTCAAATGGGCCAGGGGACTTATGCACAACCTCTCCTTGTAAATTTTTAGGGAAATAAAATTAGTGGGTTTTATTGATAGAGTAGAATTTTTATTTTTAATAAAATAGAATAGAATTTTTTAAATCATTTCTTTTTCTGATTTAAAAAACACTAAAGCAAGTTAATAATTGGAACTACAGAAAAGTAAAGAATTTTTCATTGCTTATTCTTCTTTCTCTCATATATCTATACACACATTGTAAAATATATAAATATGTTAATAAATGTTTGTGGTGTTATTTATACATCTATTAAACAGGATGTCACAGAAGAATCTCTAATCACTTGCAAAAAATCCATGAAATATTATTAAACTAATAAATTTCAAATGCAGGTTTCATGAGAGTCCATTTTGTAAAACAATATGTAGACCTTTCTCCCTCTCTCTCTCTCTCTCACACACACACACACACACACACACACACACACACACACACAAACACGCATATCTTGGTTTTACTAATAGCCTATTGAAGTTGATATCCTACAAATTTGTGTAACACATTGATGACGGTACCTAAATGAATACAGCATTTTACATTTTATGTCTCACAATTTATGGATTTCAAGCACTTTTTAATCACTTAAAGCAACTTAGGGAAAATGTATTTTAAGTTTAATTTCATTTAGTTATTTAATCATGCGCCACAACGAGGAAAATGGCCTTGCTCATAGCTTTCTCCATTTAAAAAAAAAAAAAAATCAATGAGGGGAAAAAAACCCTGAAGTCATCAGGAAGGCGTGATGAGCCACAAATATAGATTCTCATTACAAAGTGTCACATCCTTGGGCTGCCGAGTCATTCAGTACCTGCATGCATGACGCTCGTGAATGTGTGTTCATAGTTGGGCATTCGCTTTCCGCCCTGTTTTGCTCTTCAAACTTATAAAATCCCTGTAAAAACACAAGCAAAATCAGCCCATGACTTGGATTTGCAAATGACTTTTCAATGACATGTTCACACGAGGCTGATGGCGCAGCAACAAGATGAACTAATAAGCTTTCAAACAAAGTAAAAGTGACCAAGAAATAAAATAGTGCACAAAGAACTTCCATCAAATCAGCTTGATAGATGACAAATATGGACAGAGAAAAATAAGACAGTTGGTTTGGGCCCAGGGGAAAAAAGACTGAGTCCCTCTAGAAACTAGAATACAGAAACTTCAGAAAAGTCACCTCTGAAATCACATGAACATTTCAGAGTACTGTAAAACTCCATTAAAATGAGGCTTATCATCTCGTAATTTGGAAATAACAGGCATTGAATCACAACTCTCCTCTCAGGTATTTTTATGCTTCAAATTTTGATGCAACAATTAGCTTGAGGTGTGTTTTGAATCTTGTCTCCAATCCAGCCTTTACAAAAGCAGATTTCACGGCAGCGGCAATCTTATTATGAAACGGAATTTATCTAGCAATTAAACCTTTGCTTCTCTGTTAAATTCTCATGTGCTACATTATTCAAATCCATCCACGCACATTCTGTGCTTTTTTTTTTTTTTCCTCTTCAACTCAGGGAGAAATTAAAATACTATTCCAGGCATTCACAACAAGCGGAACTTCTAAACCGCCTGTCCCACACCTTTTCTATTTTTGTTTTTCCTTCTCCACCTTGCCTTCTCCTCTCTCTGCATTTTCACTGCTTTGTAAATGGAAAGGCAATGAAGAGAAGAGAGCGCTCAGCTAACGGAGCGGAAACAGGGTGGGAGAGAAAGTGTCCTCACCTCCACGTCCCACTCAGGAGCGGCCAGGTGTCCCGTCCTGAGCCATAACCCAATAACCCGGTGATGGTGAGAAAGAAGCCGGAGAGCGGCAGCCACGTAGCAGAAACTGGGACAAAGGCCAGCGCGTGTGGCCCCGCAGACAGACTAGAGAGTCCACAGTCAAGTGTGGGAATAATATCCAACAGACATTCATTTAGTGTAAGAAGACAGGAGAGGGGAGGAGACATGAATTACCTCTTTTTCACAGTTGGAGTTAAGTGTGAGCATAGCCATGGGGCTGTTGGGTGCGCTGCTCCCCGGCACTGGTGGCATGACATGATCGCCAGGCTGGTTTGGACATGGCAAGCTCAGGACTTGGTTGGCATGTTTATTTGCTAAAGTGGTAGAAAGGTACTGCTTTACCTGCTGCCTTTGGGCTTGCTGTATGTGGTACTTGGTGGGGTTTTCGAGGTGGGTCTGCACCTGAACATAGCCACGGAGGGAAGAGAAGACAGCGCCGTTATTCGTGAGTTTCGGTCGGCTCTTTTCTCAGGCACAAACATGAGACTGGCCAGTCCACCAACAGAATAAATTATTAAGCCCCTGTTTATGTACCAGGCACTGTGCTAATGGATTTTGATATTACTGAAGTTTAAAGTCTAACTCTCAGGATTTGGGGTAATACTTTGCCCTGTTTTATTTCCCTGCTAATTAGCTGCACATCTCTTGGAAACCTTGTGCCCTTCTGCTCATGTCTAAGAATTTAAAATTTGCAACCATCTGTAGGGCAAAACTTTTCCCAACACAACTGGAAGGGCTTACTGAGATCAAAACAATCCAGAAAAAGGAGCATAACAATTTATTTTACTTTCTTTGGCAAAGAGAACAGCTTTCTGTTTAAAAACAACAACAAAAACCTCCTTAAGAACCAGCTGTAAAACGGTTGTAGAAAATAAACAGAAACATTCTGATGATTAAATCAACTAGTTGTAGATTAATTCCTCCCACTTTCATTTGGACATGATTATTCAACATTTTAATTAAGATCTTGAACTCAACATTAAGCAGTTTCTTTCAAACACCTCACACTTACATGTATGTGTTTTTAAAGGCATGGCTATTAAGGCACCAGGATATTTTTTCTCCTTTCTTATAAACAACACAGGATTAAAAATGGCTTAAAAAAAAAAAATCAGTGATAGTCAATTTAAAGTTACTTTTTCCTTGATAAATACAATTTGATCTTATGAGCTCCGAACAGGAGCTGATGGAGAGAGCACAGCCAGGCACTAGGGGGAAAAAAAAAAAAAAAAACCCTACTAATATTTACTTTGTTCAAAACCACACTGAATTACTTCTTATAGTAACAAGCAGTCAACAGCATTAAACTAGCAGACTTGCACTTATTGGAAAGAGTACGATAAAATGAAAAGGTGAATTACGCAATTTATTGCACTGCATTTCAGACACTGAATATGAATGAGAGTAAAGCTCACCTGATAGTGATTATATTCTAGCATTTCCAGCATAACAACGCTTTAGGTGGCCCCAATCCAACGAGAAACGGTAGACTATTCACTCCCTCTACTTTCTGTAATGCCGATTCCAAGACTGACTGGCATAGAGAAGGCACTATAAACAAGGTATCCCGAGACACCACCGGAAACTTTATCACAGCAGCCCTGCTTATAATAACCTAAGCTAATTAGTTATGCGTGTAAAAAAAAAAAAAAAAAAAAAAAAAAACCCCATTCGCACAAGGGGCTTTTTTTTCTTTTCTTTTCTTTTTTTTTTTTTTGGAAGCTCAACGAGCTTGGTCTTCAATATTTATATCAATTTTTCCCCCTGGCTTGACGTCATGCTTTTTTCATAAATATAAAAGAACCTTTTTAAGTGATGAGCTATCAAAGTCAAACTCACTGTCAGATCAAGGCTGATTCACTATTCATCTTTAGTTCCAGTAGTATTAATAGACAATGGTATTTCTCTTTCAGCAATAGGTTAAGAGCTAGATGCCCCCTTTGGAGAAGACACTGCCTAAAAGCTACTATTACACACGAGACTTTCTAATGGCCACATAACTCTCTAACTGGCAATTGCGCGAAGAGCGTCTCTGGAGGAGTCTCTGTGCTGCACTCAAGTTCAATGGCCTCATCCTATATCCTAGTCTCAGTGTGCATCTTATTCTTAGTTGCATGGATATGTAACTCTCCTACTAACTTTAAAATCAGGAAGAATGGCAACTACCCTAAGCAGAACAGGAAAAACATACACACACACGGGGCTGGATGTATATTTATGTGAAGAGTAAGAAATAAACGTCTCCCCAATTTCACCAAGGTGGGAAGCATGAAAGTGTTTAGCAAAACTCTTATTATAACTCTTAGGGATAAAGAAGAGTAAGAGTTATCATATACATGACCGATGTACTTATATCTTTACTCATTTATTTGCTCCATTATTTACTGTTATTATGTGCTAAACGCCGTGTGAGACACGGAATATACGTTGCGAACAAATAGATCTGACTGCCAGCTTCATGAAGCTTGTAGTCTGGGGTGAGACAAAAGAAGAAAAAGGCAAAGAAATAAATACCTAAAAATTGTGATAAATGGTTAATATTAACTGCTGAAATGGGGAGATATTTAAAGCATAAAAATTTGAAATTCAGTAATGCTGTCCAAATGCCCAGGAAAATGGAAGTTCTTTACGTTGACAATCTCAGAGAGTTTTCAAATGACTGATCTAACATGCACATAGAGGTTCACAGAGACATTTTAAGTTTATGAAAGGGTCCAGACACGATAATGATGAGGACAACAGACATTACTAAAATAAACATAAAATGAGGGCAATGCGTGTAATGTGCTTATTTCACTATTACACTTAGACAAAGAAAGGGCTACACATTTAAAAATAAATGTTAATTCACTGGCAGATCCTTGTTCTTTAATGAATTAGAATTTTATGCTTTAGTAAGAAAGGAAGCGACCTGCTCTCTATTCGGCATTGCCACTAAGCTCTTTCCTAATACCCAGGTTGAGGTGATCGGAGTTGAATGTACTCTGTCCCTTCACGGTCAGCGTCATTTTAGTTTCCAAACAAGTTGCGAACAGACTAGCTATACACACTATGCAGGAAGCAGAACATCTCCAGCTGTCTCCAGACACTGGAAACAGGTAACATAAATGAGGAACATGAGCTCTAGGGTTAATAGGAAGTAGTGAGGTCTGTGCCTAACTGGAACACACACGTCTCATCTAAAAGAAATGGCTGACATGAAACGTGGTTGACGGTGGCCACATGGGTATATCAATCCAGTCGAGATCTTCCAATTCTGAGATGTAGCTAGGCAATGTAAATTTCTTTTTGAAGTTAAATCTCCCAGGTTAAAAAACTGACATCCAGTTGTTTGACTTTCACACTGCATAAGACAAGTTAAACACATCTGTGGGCTGGACTCAGTCCAGAAGCCACTAGAATGTGGTCTCTGCCTCACACCACCCTTAAGGATAATCTTCCTATCTACATTCCCTGGGGGTGGCCTAGGTTCTGAGGACAAGTTACTGTGGAAATGCAGGCATTTCCTTGTGCTTCCCGGAGAGACAGCATGCCGAGCAGCACAGTTAAGAATTCGAAACCTGCATTCAAATTGTGGCTTTGCAACTTAACTGTTTAGATGACCCTCTGCAAGTCATGAACGTTTCCAGGCTCTCATCTCCCCACGTACTCAATAGGGATGATAACAGAGCCTGCATGATAGAGGTATTTCCGCATTAAACGAACACACATGTCTGACGATCTTAGCAACATAGCTGAAACATTGCAGTTCTCAAACGTTTTTTGTCTTAAGACTGTTTCAAACCATTCTAATCGGGAGTATTTATGTGAGTCCTAGCTATCGGTGCTTACCATATTAGGAATTAAAGCAAAAAAATCTTAAAATGCAAGATGACACGCTGCCGTACATTCCACTGGTCTTCAGAACAATGACATTTTAACACTCACGAAGCTTTTGTAAAACTCTTCTGTAAAATCGCAAGAGGGGCATGAAAAAAAAAGGAAAATAATCTGGTATTATGAAGACAGTAGTTGTGACCTGGCAAAATCACTACAAGGGTCCTGGAGTCCCCCAGGGCTCTCTGATCAACTTTGAGACCTGCTGATCTAGAACACAGGTTCTCGAGTACCTGAACCCTCGAACCTTCTCACAGCAATATTATGAGGCTCTAAAGTCCTGTGACAATTTTAAAAGCCATATAAATAAAACCATCCTAAATCATAGCTCCTCAGACTTCCCTTTAATTAATTTTTCAATAGCCAATCAAGCAAGCATACAAATGAAAACATATATGCAGCAGTAAACATCTGTATGACTGCCTGATAATTTTTGCATGCTGTTGACCTTCAGACTAACCCTCCCCAAGTTAATGAATTTGGAGAGTCAAGTTAGGTATTGCTGAGCATTTGAAGCACAGACCACAGAATAAAGCTAGAATACTTCATACTCTCTCAAAAGATACTCTTTTGTCGATATAAGGGATGTTTCATATAAATAAAGGATGTTAGCTATCACGTTAAAGTGCAAAACTCCAAAGGCTTTGAAATTCTTCTTCCTTGTTACTGCTACACTCTTTTTGTGCTTCTTCTGTTCTTCCTTCAGATCCTGAATTCATACCAAGAGAGGTGGAATGGATCACCTTCTAACTGTCACACTTTTGCTGTGCCACTTCCTAGGTGACAATGACAGGTTATTTTCCACCAGTTTCATTTGAAAAAGATCGTGGAGCACATCAGTGTGAGATGGTACCTAGAGAAAACTACCATCTTGACCGACAAAAGAATTCACTGGAGGGAAAGAAAGAATTCCCACGGGTCTTCTATTCCCTCTACAATTCGTAAACCAGAATGTAAATAATCAAGTTGAGGGAAGATTCCTGCAATCCTTTTAGTTCATAATCTATTTTTTTTCAACACGTACAGATTCAACACACACTTTTTCAACACAAAGTGCAGATTTCTTATTTTATGTTTAGGGAGAAAATGTGCCCTGCTGCTTAGCGAGTTTAAGGAACAGTAAAGGGATTGTAACTCCATCAACTGCTATCGACTACTGCCTCCAAACCACCATTCTTTTATACTGGTTTTTCAAATGACAATTTATAGAGACGGTCAACCAAGCAGTCACCATCCCTGAAAAACATGGCAGAACTGACAAAGCTAGCTTTCTTAAATGACTTGGGAGAAGACTTGTCCAGGGTCACATTTGAAAGGCACACGGTTCTTTTCAGTCCCACAATTATACGAATTGTGCCGATTATGCCACGAAAGAGGACTCAAGCCTAAAATACACGTTCTCCAACACTCAGTCATCTATTCTGTACAGTCTGTACAAGGGGATTCTTCACGGAAAATAAACATGAGGATACGAATCCTGACCTAAGAGAGAAAAGAATCAAAATGAGATGCAAACAAGAAGCAAA